CATTGACCGAACTTGTCGGTTATTAAAAAAAATTAAAAAAAAAAAGGTTCTCCCTACGCTAGTATAGACTTTCTAACTTTTTAGCTTTTATAGTAGATCCCAAACAAGTACCAAAATTTTATTCATATTTAAATCATATGTCATTTGAAATTTGAAAATTATAAATATTTAAAATTTAAAATATGAATTTAGTAATGTTATGTGGATCGTATTTGGTAATATTTGATGTTTGGTATAAAGACAATAATTATATCATATGTGTCATGTGACATTCATCGAATAATTTGAAGTGTTACAATAAATGATACCAAAATCTAATATCAAAATATGATTACATAATATTACTCATTTTTAAAATCTACATATGAAGTGTGAAAACTATCCCTAAGATAAATCATAATTAGGAATGACAACGGGGTGGGCGCGGGCGTCCTCGATCCCCGATGGTCGAATTTCCCCCGTCCCTGGCCTCGATCCCTGATGGGGAACCTATCATCGCCTCCACCCCCCGCCCCCTTAACAGGGATCGGGTTTCCTCGACCCCGAACATTCCCCGGCCAAAAAAAAAAAATCAGAAAATACAACAAAAAAAAAAAAAAAAAACTAGCTTCAGAAAATACAACCATTCATCGACAACATCAACAACAACATCATCAACAACAACATCATCATCAAGAACAAAAGCAAAAAACCTTCATCAACAACAACATAAACATTATCATCTTCATCAACAACAACATCTTCATTTTTATCTTCATCATTTTCAGATCTGAAGAACAAACCCTAAACACATGGAGGAGCCGACACTGACGCGAGAGAGAGGAGCGACGGTGAATAAGCAAAGAAAGGAGCGGCGGTCGTGTGTGTGAGACTTTGTCAACGTTGAGAAAGAGGAGCGGCGGTGAAGGATGAGCGGCGGTCGTGTGTGAGAGAGAGAGAGTGAGTGAAGCGACAGAGAGAAAATAGAGAAATGGAGGTGATAGAGATAGAGAGGCGATAGAGAGATGCGCAATAGAAAGAGAGAGATAAAGGTGAGAGAGAGAGAGAGAGAGATGAAAGGCTGTTTGTTTTGTGTGTGACAGTGAGTCACCAAACCCTAACACATATTTATATATATATATATAAATCGGAGGCTAAACGGGACGGAGACGGGACGGGGCCGGGGCTGAAAAATGTATCATCATCCCCGGCTTGAATATCATCGGGGATTTATTTTTGAATACTATCCCCGGCCCGTTGGGAGTATTTTTCGAGAAAAAATCGCTCAATTCGGGGTCGGGGAATTGGGTTCCCATCAGGCCGGGTTCAAATTGCCATCCCTAATCATAATAAATTTCAAGGTTTATTACGCTTTATACCTCTAAAGTATTGCTAAATTGTCTATTTAGTCCTCGAATTATCGATTGAGTCTACTATGTCCCTAAAGTATATAAATCAAAGTCTATTTAGTCCCTAAACTATCAATTGAATCTATTAAATCCCTGAAGTATCTAATTCAAACTTATTTAGTTCTAAAAAGATTACAAAAATAAAATATAAACTCATAAGTATCATAAATTAGTAAAAGACTCTATTTAGTTAAAATTTTATTTCAAAATATTCTTAAATTTTTATTTTCTTTTTGAAAAGTGGGCATCAGTTTTTATGTTGAATTTTCTTTATAAGGATAAAAGTAATTTTTTATAGTATTTTCTTACTTATATTCTATAATGGCTACATGTTTATCTTTATCTAATATTATAAGACATTTCCTTTATAATTACTAATTGATTATTTTTAAGCTTTTCACTAAATTATTTTTATAACTTAATTAATGCATTATTTTGTTCAATTATTATTTATAGCGAAATATTATTATTTAAATTATCTAATTCAACTTATTCATTATATCTAATACTCATATAATTTTATTTGTAAGACTGAAAAATTAGACTTTAATACTAATTTAAACACACAACGAATATTTTTTAATGAAAAAGTACAAATTGAAGATTTTTCTCTAATAAAATCTTAATTTGGTAGGGTCTTTTACTAATTTATAATAGTTATAGGCTTATATTTTATTTTTGTAATTCTTTCAGTGACTAAATAAATTTGAATTAAATATTTAAGGGACTTAATAGATTCAATTGATAGTTTAGAGACTAAATAGATTTTGACTTATATACTTTAGGGACTACGTAGATTCAATCAATAGTTTAAGAATTAAATAAACAATTTGGTGATAGTTGATGGGTAGAAAGTGTAATAAACCCTAGATTTCATCATCTAATATTATTCGTATACAGTTTAAATAATTTGGTCCAAAAATAAAAAATCATGCATAGACTAGAGTTTTTATCAATAGGTTAGGCTTTAAACACTAAAATGGTTCAATTAGAATAGTCAAAAAAGTAAGTTTGCGTACATTATTTTATATGTAAATATTCATTTATTTATTTAATATATTAATTTAAAAAGTGACATAATTTAAACAATGAGAATTTTTTAGTGAGTCTACACTAAGAAAATGGGGATTTTTTTTAAAGATCTATGATATTAAGATTTTATTATATAAAGGACATTCAATATTCTCATAATGTCTAATGTCCCTCACATATCAATCCAAAGAAATTTCAATCTAGAAAATTTCTCTAAACTTCCCAAAGAAGTTCTCTCAAAATTTCTCTAGATTTTCTTTGGATTTCCCACTTTCTAAAGAAATTCTCTTCAAATTTCTCTGGACTTCCCATTCGCCAAATAATTTCTATTCAAATTTCTTTGGACTTTCTCTGGATTTCCCACCCTCCAGAAAAATTCTCTCTAAATTTCTCTAGACTTTCTACTCTCTATTGGCGTCGAACTTGAGCAATGAGCAAAAAAAGTTCAAGTCTTAGCTTGACCTAAACACTCAGATTGGCCTAAACTCACTCTTTCTCTCTAATATTTTTGTCTTTGGATGTATGGTTGCAGAAGAAGAGCAAGAACCAAGACAACTAAGGTGAGCAAAAGAGCGATGATCAGTAGAAAAAGAGAGATAAAGGAAAGAATGACGACGGTGTCCTCGCTATCATTTTGAAGGTCGACATGCATTGCGAGGGTTGTGCTACCAAAATTAAGAAGTCTATTCTAGACTTTAAAGGTGCGTTTTTACTTCAGATTCGCCAAAATTCATGCTTTGTTTCCTTCTATACTTTACTCTGCTCTTTTTCCACTTTGTTCATTTGATTTTCTCATTGTTTTCTCTCGGTTTCTCTGCAACTTGCTCAGTTCACAACTTGTATTTCTGATCTTTTTGAAATATATTCTGGTGAATTTGTTCATATCGAAGAATGATATCTTCAATTTTGTTCTTATTTGATATAAATGCTTGTGATTTGTCTGGGAATGCGTTGAATCCTTGAAAGGACAACATCAGATTAGTAGCATAATTGAAGAAGTCATACCATGTCAATGGAGAGCCTCAACGCTCTCAATCTCTCTGAAGCAAACCTTCCCTAGCTCTTCTCTCTTCAACCCCACCTCCTCCGCCTTCAAGAAGCCCTAATCTCATGCTTCACCATAATCTCTCTCTCTCTCTCTCTCTATATATATATATACATACATGTATTCTAGGGTTTGCTAATGTTGTATATCAACTTACATTTCTAACAGTCAATCAAATGCGAAGATTTCTGCCAATCCAAGAAATCAATTTTCAAACTCGTCAACTTCCTCAATTCGGTCACCAAAAATAACGATTCTTCAAAGAACGATGCGTTCTAAGTTCTTATGAAAATTCATAAATTCATTACTTCACCTTCGAGACTTTGTTGGTAACAAAATTTCTTTGTGATATATGAGTGTGGGATTAAGAGACTTTAGACATCATACAATAATATTGTTGATATCTTTCATTATTAAAAATGGGAGAGGGACTTTAGACTAATTTTTCCTAAGAAAAGCTAAAGAGATATTGATAAATGCAATTTTATGTTTTACGGTAAATGTAATTTTTATAATTTATTCTATTTTTTACCTCTAAGTTTGACTATTTATGTTATAATACATTTTTATTTTAATATGTAAAACACACTATTGATAACAAGACTAAAATAATAATAATTGTAAAAATTATGAAAATAATTAAAAATTATTTGATTTAAATCTCTTTTATCTCTATATTTTATTTTTTTATTACTATTTAATATTAATATTTTTGTTAAATTATTTGTGTGATACCATACATAACACAGGTGTAATAATTTAATATTACACAAATTAGCAAATATTACAAAAATAAATAAATATTTTACCGTAGAGGTCACCTTGAAGTTACCTAAAAATTATTTTTTTGAGTGAAAAAATTTGATATTACATTTAGCTTGTTTATCTAAATAACTTGTTGAGTTATTGCGATTAATAATCTGTTTGATTATGTAAAATTTTTTATATTTATAATTACTTTTTTTCTCTATTAATAAATAATATAAAAATAAAAAATAACTTCTTAACTTATTAATGTGGTGTTTGGCAAGTGGGTTGGGGCTAAAATAGCCACAAAAGACAAAACAGGCTATTTTAGCCACAACAAACAAAACATCACATCCAAATTTGATATTACATTTAGCTTGTTTATCTAAATAACTTGTTGAGTTATTGCGATTAATAATCTGTTTGATTATGTAAATTTTTTTATATTTATAATTACTTTTTTTATCTATTAATAAATAATATAAAAATAAAAAATAACTTCTTAACTTATTAATTTATTTGACATTATCCCAAATGCCCCCACATAAAGTGACATATTAATTTATTTTTATTTTTAAGAGAGGGTAGTGCAATTACATAAAAAATATGAAATTTACTTTATTTTCAAAATTGCTGCGAGTGTAATTTGACTTTAATAATTTGATGTTTTGCTATATTAATCAAAATTAAAGTCATTAAAAGTTAAAAAATAAACATGCTTAAAAAAGATTTGAAATTAAAAAAAAAAGCACTTAAAAAGAGGTGTTTTCCCAAAAGTGATTCCATTGGAGACAACGACATCCCAATCCCTACACTGTAGCCCAGACAAAAAAGTAGCCTCACCTCACCAATCTCTACATTTCTCGGCTGTTTGTTTCTCGGGAAACTAGTTTCCTGACTGGAAATCCTGAGAAAATGGAGAAGGTCAAGAAAGGTGCAGGTGGAAGAAAGGGCGGCGGTCCGAAGAAGAAACCCGTTTCCCGGTCCGTCAAAGCCGGCCTCCAGTTCCCGGTCGGCCGGATCGGCCGATACTTGAAGAAAGGCCGCTACTCTCAGCGCGTCGGAACCGGCGCTCCGGTCTACCTCGCCGCCGTGCTCGAGTACCTCGCTGCTGAGGTCTCTCTCTCTCTCTCTCTCACTCAAAATCTGTGAATCTTCACTGAGCTTGTTCTGTGGAATTTTTTTGGGCAAAATTGGTCTGAGTCTTGTGTTTAATTTTTAAATTTTTTTAATTAATTTTAGTTGTTTCGAAATTGTTGAGCAAAGTTTTGATTTTTTTTGGTTGTTGAGTTGGATCTAATCTAGTAGTTTTGCCTTTTCTGTTGAAAAGCCCTAATAATGTACCGTTTGGGTGCTGAGATTTAGTTTAGTTTAGTTTGACGAGACAGGGTAAAGTAAAACCTTGGAATTTCAACTTTTAGGCCTGGATCAAATGCATTTTATGATTGATTCTCTTATTCCGAAAGCAAAAATTGCTATGATTTTTGCATGAAAAGTGAGAAGAAAAAAAAAAAAAAAAAAAAAACCCAAAATGATTTTCGATATGCTTTTTGGTTGTTGAGTTGGAGCTAGTAGAACACTCTGTCAAAGCATGAAATGCCTTAATAATTTGTTTGGATGGCTGGAAAATGAAGGAAACATTTTAACTTTTTGTTAATATACCATGCTGGACTACATACAGTTTATTTGAATGGAGTTTTGACATTTCGCAACTCTCATTCAGAAATAAAAAAATTGCTATGATTTTTGCTAAAAAACTGAAAAACAAGCACTCCAAAACAATAATAAAAAAGGACATTACTTTCCTTTGTTTTTCCTTCAAATTTAGCAGTAAATTTGACATTGCCTAGTAGTGAATTTTGCATGATCTGGTGATGGTTATGGCGGGTATCGGAACCGTGTTAGGTTTTGGAATTGGCTGGCAATGCTGCAAGAGACAACAAGAAGAACAGGATCATACCAAGGCACGTGCTTTTGGCTGTGAGGAACGATGAGGAACTTGGAAAGTTACTTGCAGGCGTGACTATTGCTCATGGAGGGGTGCTTCCCAACATCAACCCCGTTCTTCTTCCAAAGAAAAGTGAGAAGGCTGCAAAGGAGCCAAAGTCTCCGACCAAGGCAGCCAAGTCACCTAAGAGGAAAGCTTAACTTCTCAGAGTGTTGAAGAAAGCCTTATCTGCTCTTAGTTATTTCTCTGTATATGTAATTTCGTTTTCTGTTGTGTTATGTAGGAAATCTTCTTGTTGTAAGGAACTATTGCAGTCTTTGTTTCAAATCGTTATTATGACATCTTTGTTTGAAATCAAAGAAATTAAATTCCTAGTTTCGAATCTCAGTTGTCAGCTTGATGGGATGTTTGCTTGTATATTCACGTGCATGTGCAAGGCCAAGCCGAGACTGAAACTAGTTCTGGCTTAGGATAAATATTAGAAGAGGGCATGCATTTTTCATGCTTGAAAGATGATTATCGACTGCTGAGTTGTTGAAGATTTCTGTTACAAGTGAGTTGTATTTGTATCAATTCCTTTTTAGTTTGGGTTAATGAAGGTGTTGTCCCTCATAATTTGGCTTCTTTCCTTTACTGTCCGAATATGTTTTGTGCTCTTACCGTCCTTAATCTACTTACTTTTGAATGACTTCCAAGCATTGCCTTCCACTTTTGGTAAGATGGTTTGGGTTAGTCGCTTACCCAACATATGTAATTTCATTTTTGTCGTGGAATGTAGGAAAGCTTCATGTTATTGTACTCTTTGCTTCAAATCCTTATTAGAACATCTTTGTTTGTAATCAACTTCCTAGTTTTGAATCTCAGTTGTCAACTTCATGGAATGGTTGCTTGTTTGTGCGTTGAAACTAGGTCTGGCTTAGGATAAATAATAGAAGAGGACATGCAGTCATTATGCTCGAATGACGATTATCTACACACTAGTTGTTGAAGGATTGTTGTTAAAAGTGAGTTGCATACTAATTTGTATCAGTTTCTTTTATAGTTTTGAATTAATGAAGGTTGCCCCCTTGTAATTTGGCTTCTTTGATTTGCTGTTTGAATTTGTAAACAGAGGGATTTCCGTACTTTGGCTTCTGCTTTTGGTAAGATGGCCATTACGCACATGTCCAACTTGAGGTTGGATGTTGATTTTTGTATTGCGATTCCCATCTTTTCTAGTTTGTGATTCGTTCTATTCTGATGGATTTGTTGTTAAATTCCAGTAGCAAAATTGAAAATTTCAATTCTCTGTCATTTGCATACATATCCCATCTGATGATGAAATGCACATTGTTTCTTGTCTTTGTGGCTTTTGGTGGCTGTGATCTGTGGTTAATGAAGGAGTGTGTAATTTCAGTTAGTACTATATGGGAAGTAATGCACCTTTATGTTGGGTAGTGTCAAATCTCTAGATTTAAATTCACCCTTTATTAGACACTAAAAATGGCTTCATTACATGCCATTTGAAAATAGAGTCCCTGATGATGTGTTTGATTCATAGATTTTGAGAGTGCTTTGGAAAGAAAAAAAAGTAGGTGAAATGTAAATGAAATATAATTACATTTCATACACATTTTTTATTTTCCTTTACTTTATCAAATTTCTTTTCAAATTCATGAACCAAACACAGCCTAAATGTCTCAAAATATGCTGTTTATTGTACATTCCAATGCTATCAACATTACTGGTAACAATGGATTCTAAACTATATGGGATGGTTTCTTCATGTTCATTAATTTTTGGAATTTTGCAACTTGTGAATTGAAGATTCCAGCTCACTAGTTTTTTTTGCTCCGTTTTGAGTAAATATGGTTGATTGTTGCATCTATTCTCAGTATCCAATTCCCACTAAATCAATTAAGGGAAACAAACACGGCCTAAAATGGAGGAGATAGATTCTCAATCCAATTTTCATAACATTTCCAAATAAACTGTCTAGTTAAAATTATATATTCAACTTGGAATTTCAAATTCGAAAAGAAAGTGGCATGCTGAATTTGTGGCCAATTTCCCTGATTGGGGCATTTTGAATATTTTAGTCTCACTTTAGTGTGTGTTTTTAACTTTATTCTCATAGTAGGGTAAAACGGTTTTAGAAATATCGTTTTCTAGAAAACGGCTTTTGAAAAGCCGTGTTTTGGAATTAAAATAATAATAAAATTTGAACATAAAAAACGGCTTTAGAAAAGCCTGTTTTAATTAAGTTTTTAATTAATTCTAAATTAATTAAAACCGTTTTTACATTAATTTTTTTTTAATTTATATTTTCAACATAAATATTTTTTGACCAAAAATATTTTTAATAAAAAACGGTTTTAGAAAAATCATTTTTACATTAATTTTTTTTAATTTATATTTTCAACATAAATATTTTTTGACTAAAAATATTTTTAATAAAAAACGTTTTTAGAAAAATCGTTTTTACATTAATTTTTTTAATTCATATTTTCAACATAAATATTTTTTGACAAAAAATATTTTTAATAAAAAACGGTTTTAATATATTTTTTTTAATTATTTTTTCTCATGTGGGAAGGTTGGACACATCTAAAAAAGTAAAAAAAAAAATGCTTAAATTTTAAAAATATTCACTAAAAACAAAAAACTCAGTTTTCAAAAAACTTAATTCAGAAAACTCAAACCTAGGGCTTGTTTGGTTTGTATCTCAAGATATAATTTTTGAGAATTTTTTTTAAAATTTTGTTTAGTTCAAATTTTTTGAAAAAAAGTTTCAAAATCACTTTTCAAAAATTTCCAAAATTTCAAAGTCTTTTCAAAACCCACCTTAGAGTGGGAATAAATATTTTATGTTTTAAATATTTATTTATTTTTTTAATGTGCACTATATTTCGGGACTTTTCCCATATTTAGCTAATTTATCATCTTAATTCCCAAATTAGGCCTAGTTTGGACGGAATTCCCAAACTAGGCTAAAGCGCTATTATAGATCTTTCTAAAACCGTTTTTTATTAAAAACTTTTTTGGTAAAAAAATATTTATGTTGAAAATATAAATTAAAAAAAATTAATGTAAAAACGACTTTTCTAAAACAGTTTTTTATTAAAAATATTTTTGGTAAAAAAATATTTATGTTAATGTAAAAACGACTTTTCTAAAACCGTTTTTTATTAAAAATATTTTTGGTCAAAAAATATTTATGTTGAAAATATAATTTTAAAAAAATTAATGTAAAAACGACTTTGGTAAATACGTTTTCTAAAACGACTTTTCTAACACCGTTTTTTATTAAAAATATTTTTGGTCAAAATATTTATGTTGAAAATATAAATTAAAAAAAATTAATGTAAAAACGGTTTTAAAACCGTTTTTAATTAATTTAGAATTCATTAAAAACGTAATTAAAACCGGCTTTTCTAAAGCCGTTTTCTATGTTCAAATTTTATTATTATTTTAATCCAAAAACACGGCTTTTCAAAAGCCGTTTTTTAGAAAACGGTATTTCTAAAACCGTTTTACCCTAGTATGGGAATAAAGTTAAAAACACTAAAATATTCAAAACGCCCCAATCAGGAAAATTGGCCCTGAATTTGTGATTTCACACGCAAAATTGTCAAAATTAACATTTGGCAAAAAGTGGTTCAGTGAAAGGATTACAGGTGGTGACTATAATTGGTTCTATCCCAAATTGCAACCTGTTGGTGGTGAGGGATCCCATTTAAGTTACAGCAATTTAATACATGTATGGCTATGTATGTGACTCTTTTTGGTTGGGGTTTCAGAATTTATTTTTTTAAAAAAAAATTAAAAATCAATTCTGTGGTATGAACCCAGCCTTTTTAAAAAATATAAAAATAAAAAAAAAACCCTATGATGCACAGATCGCAGTACACAAATATTACCACTACACCAAGACCAACCCTCTACCAACAATACATCTGTCATCCAAAATAAAGCAATCACCAGAGGCAGTCATTTGAAACAACAGCATAGATGCATTTTCCAGTAGTTTCATCACTGGGCTAGTAACCATGAATTTGTGCAGAGAATATATATACATATATATATATATATATATAGAGAGAGAGAGAGAGAGAGAGAGAGAGAGAGAGTGAACATCAATGGCAACTCAAGGATTTAAAAGAAAAATCTGAGACCCAAACAATCTTGAAAGGGGCATCATCACCAAGAACTCGAGGAGCCTCTCAGATCCATTATACAGACAAGCAAAAGTTACCATTTCATCACAAAATATAAAACATAACATTATGTGATAAGAAGCCAAAGACAAGTAGATCAACAAAATAATGCAGACAATTGGTTCTGCTGCTTCATTAAGAAAACTACTACAAAGAACTTCAATCTTAACAAAGAAGGTTTGTTGTTTCCTTAAATTCTAGTATATCATTTGGTTCAGGTTGGAATTTTAGAGAATATAAAACAACAAAGAGATGCAACTTGAAACCTTCAAAGTGCTCAAAGATTATCAACAAAAAAGGTCAAGCACTTTATTTGATCTTGAAGTAATGAACCAAAGCAAAATCTGTGTGCAACCTTCCTCTTCGATATCCAGGCCTTCTTTGCTCACTCTCTCACTCAACACCAACTAATACCTGGGAATTGTAAAAGAGACAAACAAAAACCAAGTAAAATGCATGCTTAAGAAAATATTTGATGTGATACATATAACTAAAAAGATACAGACCAAGAAACTGTCGTGAAACCAAAATTGCAATAGGATTCAAAATCAAGAAAGAGAGAACAAGAGCACTTGGCTCTAATCAATACTCGATATTCTTCAATTAAAAGCTAAGTACAATGGAGATTATATCACCTACTTATAGACTACAATTAATAGGACACTTACCAAACAATTAAAATATTTATTCTACTACGTCACACATAGGCTAGTTCATGGTCAAAACAAATATGGAAATGTGGGCGGTGGTTAGTGTTGGTATGTGTGTAAAAAACGTATTGAAATTTGTGGAAAATGTATAAAATAAAAATAAAATGTATAAAAAGATGTGAAATGTGTATTGAAAATGTAACATTTTGGGCATTTTGTGGTTCTTAACAAACGCCCATTGGGTAGTTGTTAGCAAGACCCAAACAACAACCATGATTGACTATGCAGTGATAGAAGGAACAAGCCAGAATAGAAAAAGGTGATATAAATTTACTTTTGTACATGGATTGCCATCTAAAACATTGCTCATCAAGAAGAAGAAGAGGAAGAAGAAGAATACCCAACTACCAGGAAAATAGGTCATTCAATGGAGCATGTCATTCAATTCAAAATACTATGACCAATTGAGAATATCATTCAATTCAATTCAAAAAGTATATGACAACTTTAACGGAGGAAACAATATTTACCCATCTAACCAGAAAACAGGTTTCCTATGCTTTGAAAATGTTTAAGGTTTGACTGTGGGGTAATAAACAGCCACTTCTGATTTAGCTTATCCTTGAGGCCACTGGTCCCTAGAAGTCCAATGGTAGCTATAAAGCCTATAATGTGGCATTTAGAGCTTTATGTCAATGATTTTCATTAAATTGTTGGTGAGAGCACTAGCTTTATCAAAAACATATCAGCATAGATCTCAATATTAACAGTGGCATCTTACTGTCAGGACAGAACAGATTACAGAAAGAAGAGCCTATATAGCTTCAATTCATTCGGCATTGCCACGTGATCCCTTATGAACGTATGAAGTGTCTCACCTATCTCATCATATCTAGGTTTTACAGCTACAATAATTTCCTCTCATGAACACATTAAAAACATAGAAACAGGTTCTGGATAGCTCTTGAGAGTACTCGTACCACTATTAACACCACTTAGGAAGTGCCATCACAATCATCATCGCATAATGCACTCCCCCTAGTCATGTATGCTACTAACAACTTTGCCAGCACTACCACATTTATGACACAAATAAGCATAATCTCAAGTCATCACCACTTATTGCTAGTAGAAATATGACATGCATTCACACATTTAGAGCCCATTAGGATTGGATGATTAGGGAAGAAAAAAAAAGAAATGTATTTCTCTTGGTTCATATCACTAGTTTGGATAAGCAAAAGAGGAGTGAAATGGAGAGAGAATCATTTCTCTCAAAACCCCTAATTCGAATATCTCCAAACGTGGAGAGAAAATAAACCAACTAAATACTATTTTGTTATAATACCAAAACTATCCTTTAGATATAGAAAAAAAAAAAAGACTCACCTATAAAATGTTAATTTGGTAATATAACACGATATCATTTCTTTTCTTTTATATGGCTTAACTGAACAATATAGGAGATAAATCAATAGCCGTTCTTTTCTTTTCTCTCCTATTTATCCAAACAAGAGGGAGAGAAATCAGTCCTTGCTTTTCTTTTCATAATCATTCCTTTTCTTTTCTCTCCTAGGTTACCAAACATAGTGTTATCTAAAACCATTTCGAATGCAGCTACCAACACTGACATTAGCATATTGAAATTACTCAATAACAGTAATGAAGCCAAATTTACAGCACAAACTTCTCCAGAACTTGGGGTTGACCAACAAACAAAATCACCATATACACAATCATGAAGAATTACAAAAAATAAATAAATATCATATGTAACAATGACAAAGTATCTGAATATCACAGAAGCTGTAAGAAATGTGAATAGAAAATTATCAATGAACCCATATAGCTTTAAAAAAAAAAATAAATAAAAAAATAAAAATAAAAAATGAAGGATTTCTACACAAACCTGGGAGACCCAGCGTTCATATTGCGATGAAGTATCCGGCTACCGCCCGAATCATCCGATCCAATCAATTCCCTCAATCCCAAATTACCCATTTTCTCCTCCTTCTCATCAACTTTTTCATCATCCTCATTGGCAACAACAACATCAACAGACTTAGCCTGAATTCTCTCAAAATAATTCCCATATATATACTCAGGAGTATACCCATTTTCATCATCAAACAACATTATATGACCATGCCACTCCCAAACCCTGTAATCCGATCCAGTGTCTTGGTGAAACCCAACACATATATGGTGTTCGTTGATTGTAACGGCTTGGCCTGAATTGGGTTTCAGGGATTCGATTTTGCCGCTGAGGATGGTTCGGATTAGCTCCTTTTCGAGCTTGGATTCTTCTTTGGCGAGTTGGGTTTTGTTGTTGTCGTTGTCATCGTCGGTGTCGGAGAGATTGGAGGTGTCGAAGAGAAGGTCTTCTAGGGTTTGGTTGAGGAATGGTGATGATGAGTGGAGATTAGGGGGCCGGATTTGGAGTCTGCCCATTAGGGTTTGGAAGAGAAGGTTGTCAAAGTTGGGGGTGCTGTTGAATGAACTCATGATTTTTGGGATTGATTAAGAGAGAGAGAGAGAGAGAGAGAGAGCAATTGAGGGTTTTTGATGGGTTTTGAGAACTTGAGAGAGATGAGAAAGAAGGGTTCTTGGTTGGTAGTTCAATGAATATTTATTTTTAAAATATTAAAAATTAAATTTTGAAATATGACCCATTTTAATTTAATAATGTGATAAGGATTTTTTTTTTTTTTTTTTTGGGGGGGGTGGTTGTTTAAATGGATTGTTTTCATAGTATTACCCTTTTTACTTTAAAAAAAAGTATTATACAAACAATTGTTTTATTAAATCTTTTCACAAATTGATGGATATTTAATAAATAAATTTTTGACAATGGAGTGTGATCCAATGGTTTAATAGTTATTATACCTTAGGCTGTGGTAAGTGAGAGGTCAATAGTTTAAGTTGATAGAACAGTGACGACCTCTTCGGTTATAATTTAACTGTACTAATGCTATTTTTGACCAAATTTTTTTTAGATAATAAAAAATAAATTTTGATTTTTTTTAATGGAATCAAGTAAAATAACATAATAGGTGACAAATTGATATATGTAAATCTGACATTTTTATGTTAAAAAAAAATCTCCATCAAATATTTCAAATTTATCATTTTATTGCATGTTTATTTTAATCTTAACATATTCATATACTAAATTTTTATAAGAATCCTTGCCACTTTCAAAGAATAAAATTTACCATCCACGTTGACATAGGGAAGGCGTGTCAAATGCTTTCGGTTACAACTTCTTGAAGTGTCAATTTTTAAAATATTGATAAAAACTTGTTAATGTGACGAAAAGTATTTAAAATATTAGTAACAGATACTCTTATCGAATTAATGTTTACATATTTAAAAATTAAGAATAATAATTCATAACTCTAAATTTATAATTTTAACAATGACTCTAATAATATGACACGAAATAAAAAAAAAGAAGATACATACATTAAATCATTCATAAGTGAGGTCACTGCCACATAAACATAACTCTTATTACAGCTCTACTTTTAGTGCTCTCAAACATTTTTGCTATGTTTAAATTAGGGGTGGGCAACGGTTTATCCAATCGGCAAAAATCACCTAACCCGCATATAAATAGGCGGTTTTACAAATATAATGCGGGCGGATGCGGTTTGAAATATGACATGTTTGTAGGTTATGGCACCCGCACTTTTTTTTAAAAATATTTTATTTTATTTTTTTTTATCTTAACTGTTGATTTCATTCCTATATCCCATCTAGATATTTTTGCCCCCCCATAACACCCTTTATTCTTTGAATTTACTCTAACATTATATTTGCTAATAGTATTATATCAACTGAAACTGAATAAATACTGATCATATTATTATTGTTACAACTGAGGTTGTCCCGGATGAAGTGTGATTTGAAATTTTAAATTCCTTAATGAATATGGAGTTCTAATTTAGGATTTTGAAATACGTGCTTGTATTAATTTATAATTTGATTTAATATTTTGAATGATTTGTTTGCGTTACAAATTGATTTTGTTGTGTTTTTAATTTTATAAGTTATAATTCATTAATTATTAATGTTGGAGCATTTTAAAAAATGGGGAGAAAATGGCCCAAAATAAATATTTACAAAATGAGAAAAAATAAGGCTTAAAAATAAATTTTTGGAAAAAAAAGTCCAATCCGCAAATCGCCAGCACATCCGCGAACCCTATCTGCACAAACCACAAACCGCACTGCGAGCGGTTGTGAGTTGTCTTTTTCCCAAACCGCATAAATGCGGGCGGGTCTAAACCGATCCGCAAACCGTTCAAATCCGAACTTCGAACACCCAATTAAGGCTATTTCAATTGAAGACTATTATCACTATGTTTGGTGTAGATTTTAACATGTTGAAACTAGATAATCAAAATATATAAATTAAAATCACTTTTTTGTTTTGCTTTTCAAAAATTATATTTTTTTCATTTTATTCAAGCTATTTTTTTTCTTATAAAATGTAAGCAAAATAACACCAAAATTCTTGCACAAATTAAAAAAGAAAGGAAAAGAAAAGAACAGAAAATTATACTAAGTAGCCCATAAATTGCACCAAATCGTTCCAATATGAGGTTCCAATTAACAATGGGTTGATGATGGCGTTTTTAGTTGTACGTCTTATTTCTATCAATAAAATCATGTTCTTTTACTTGACAAAAATAAAAAATAAAGTCAGTATTTGTCAACAATATTAGGAAAATTTAGCCAAAATTCTCTATTCTCAACATGTTACTGGATAAAGGACAATCTAAACTATTTTTATTTCTTAAACCTCCTGAATAAGAAGCGTGTTTTTCATAAAAGATAGATTAATATTTTTTTTTCTTTTTTCTAGACAATTTTACCCTAAATATATATGTCAGAGATTTGAATCAAATCTAATAATTATTGATGTTGAAGTTTTGTTGAATGATCATTGTTGGCCATTGTTCAATGATCAAATCTAGATCACAAGGAATAGATTTATCTTTGAGAATACTATTCCAAACTAGTTGGCCGAAGAGAGAGGGTTGCCAGAGTGAAAGGGGGACTACCGGAGAAGAGAAGGAGGAGTTACAAGTAGAAAGTGTATGGGTGAGGTTCAAAGGGTATACTTGAGATTATGGTAGGGGTCAAAAGAAAATTAAAGAGGGAAGCAATTTTGGTGATGGAGGCCAAAGAAGTAGGAGATCTACAATAGAAAGGTAGGGGCATTTAGCAGCCCTCAATTTTTATTGATTGGAGTTTTCAAGTATAGTTTTTTGAATTTTCAATTCATATATTTTTTCATAGTGAACGCTTTTATTTTTTTAACCAATTTTTATTTATTTGTTTATTTTTAAAATTTTTATATCTACTTGAGCCAGATCAAAAAAATTAAAAACTTAATTACAATATTAAAAAAAATTACTAAAAAAATGAATTAAAAATTTTAAAAAATATTTTTAAAAACTCAAAATATAGAGTACTTTTATTGATTTTTGCAAGACAAATAAATAAATGTCATAACATAAGAAGATGTATCTAATTTTGCTGTATTTAACAAAAATTAATTAAATATAAAAAAAATTATTAAAGACAAATAAAACTCAATTAAAAAATTAAACCAAACACAATCTCTATTTTTTAATATCAGTGGAGGCAATGTGAATTTAGGTACTAAATATTGTTTAAAAAAATAATAATAATGTAGTAAATAAATGAAATGTGAACGCAATGCAATGTGACAATGACCAAAAGGACCATACAATGGTCATCGTTTTTTTGTTTCTTCTTCCATGATTCACTAATGTCATCTTACAAATATTAAATTCTAAAAAATAAAAAATAAAAAAAATCTAACATCATTCAATGCCAAAGCCATCTCTCTCTCTCTCTCTCTCTCCTCATTATGGGTTCGTTTGGAATGTGGATTGGAATGTGAATGTGAACTTCATCTGGTATAGGCATCTCATGCCTCCTAGGCCTACCACGCCTACCACTACGATCACGTCCTGACATCCTAATAAAAGTAACAATAGACATTAGCACATTTACAAATGTACCGAAACTAATTCACTCATGTCCTAATACGGTCGACAACTGCAATTCACTCAACGTAAGTGCATAATCACATATACACATACGAATTTCATTCCTAGATAATGATCGTCCCACGGCGTTGCTAGAGTTCCAATTAGAAACAGCAGTGATCAAGTGCTCTTCTAATAGGGCTTCCAGAAACCCATAGACCCAACCAACATCTTAGGAACTAAATCCCATACCCATTTAATCACATAAACATGTTATCATATCAACACATGACATCCATATCTAAGTCTCTAACAAGCGAGACGAACCCATTGTGGTACTAACCACTTTCCACGTACCCAAAGTATTCAAACCCAGTACGCTCTGATACCAAGTTGTAACGCCCTCAAAATATAATACTAATAAACCATTCATAAGATCTATGAGCATACTGAAATTGTTATACTTTCATTCATCAGAGTTTATATTACATGCATTATACTTTCATAAATGTTCATTCTAAAACTATAGCATGTAACACTAGTTGATAACAACAAAATAAATGCCCTACGAGCTTACATATTTCCAAGATATCTCTTGGTTACAACAAAAGAGTCTTGAGCTCTATACATATAAAGCTCTTGGCTTGAGTAAACACTTAACATAAAAAAAAAAAAAAAGAATAACAAAATAGAGCCTTCAGCCCCTAGTCCTCCCAAGCTATGTCCTTGGAGGTGGCATGTCACCTGTACCTGAAAATGGTTTCCCAAGTAGGGTGAGCCAAAACCCAGTAGAGATATACTAACATAATGTATGAGATTTAACTAAGATATAAGCATTAGATAAATGTTCAATACTTAAAACCAACTGACATCTTTTTCATGACCAATCAGTAACGACATCAATATCTTAATCAATTTCCATTCATTTATTCAAATCAACTCATAGATATAGTCCCTTCCTATCTAAACAATCCCAAACGAGACTACAACTCATTTGTTAACACTTCAATAGCAACCATTATTCAAACACTTCAATTTTCTTGCCATTTTATGGAATTCTCATCCGAGGGAATCAGCACCCATATATATATATAAGATTTCGGGACTTTTACCCTGGACACTCCGGCCAACTTAATTTTAAATGGAGTCCATCCCCTATCTCATCCCAAACAATGGAATACATCCCCTATCTCCTCCCAAATAATAATACATATGAAATGTATTTAAAAACGTTGGCATATACAATGACTAATCAAATCACATATTTAGTGGTTTAATCAAACCGTCATATTCAGCAACATAATTCAAATAATTAGTTTCAATTCACCTAATCCTCATGCAGTTTCTACAACAATCATAGCTATCCTCCACCGATAGCCCAAAATAGATATTGCTAAACAGATATACAATCTATCAAACAGATATTCTTTGAAGTTTTCCATAGGTGAGTGATTTATCAAATCCAACTACACCATTCATTCATACATCCTCCCAATTTCGTATTTCTCATATCAATTTTATTATTTATACAAAATAATCTTTAACACAAATTAGGGCAATTTTTCCCATTTTTTCCAAATATC